AAGGGCTTTGGCTGGATCTGCCCCTTTGACCTAGGTCAGAGCCACGTCACCAGGCTCCTGATTGGTTGTTGCGGCGCGATTTGAGCTGGAGTTCAGATTTTTCCAACTGAGCGGTTGACGCGATATGCCCTTATGCACAAAATGCAACACAAAAACTGACACGCGTGGTTTTTTTCGCGAGTCAAACGTGCCAGACGCGCTACACTGATGCGCGTTTCAGGCGTTTTGGCATTTTCGCAAAGCAAATCTGCTTCCGAATTTTCGCGGGACCCGCAATCGCGCGTCATCGCGCTTTTCCATTGACTTTACATGTAAACCTGACGCTCTGGCCGCCTTTATCGCGTTCGGTGTGAACACACCGTTATTAATAATTAAGCTATAACAACATTTCATGAGGAACAAAAAGATTATCATAAAAACCTCCAAAGGTTGACTCTGTTCATCTGGACTTCGCGTTTTCAGCGTTTTCAGCGTTTTCCCACGGAAAACGCTAAAAACGCGAAGTCCAGATGAACAGAATCAACCTTTGGAGATTTACTTACCTGGATGATTGAGGATGCATCAAGACATGATCAACAGAAATCAAAGATTAAAACTTGACAGATTGATGGTAACGTGTCTCATGAAAGCACCAGAAACATTAAAGTCATGTAAGACCCACATTGACCTCCTGAATTGTAGCGAGATGTCACAACAATAACAGACTTCACTGCAATTCTATCATTCCTCACAGTGACTAAGTCCTGACTACTGCTTCACACCCTTAACAAATGGGAATAACTGTCAAATTATTCATTTACCATATTATTCATCATCCTGTGCTTATAGGCAGGATCTGACTGAGTAGGAAGACTCACTGACAGTATTTAATGGCACATACTGAAAATGAAGTTTTGCTGACATCACTTACAAAACATCCACAGAGGAAGTGATTCAAGGTGATGTGGTAACCAGAGACCATAAAAGGTCAATCACATTCAGCACCTGAGATTACCAATGTGAGCAGAGGATACCGCTGACTGACGTGTAGTAGGGTAGTACAAGGAAGGATAATGATTTTACTTAGTGGGTGAGACATGAGAGTGAGGTTGTAATGAAAAAAAGCAAGTAATCATGCTTGTAACAATTCAAACTAACCATATCTTCTTTTCGTTGCTCCCTTTAGGGGTTGAAACAGCAGATCATTTGCCTCCATCTCACCCTAGCATCCATTTCTATCATACCAACCCTCTGCACGATCTGTAGTGTATCATAGTTCGTTTTTTTACCATCTTAGTTTGTTTATATTTTCTTAGTTGCTTCACTTGTAGAATAAGAGCTCCACAAAGGTATGATATACTAATGCACTGCAGCTGCCCGAAGCTTATGGCCGGGAGAACCCTGTGAGGGAGTGCATCCTTGAAGAGATCCTGACCTCTGCCCTCATGCATCACATAAAACACCCAGCTGCTGGTGTTCTGCAGGCACAGCCCTGTCAAATTGGCAAACCAGAACTACAGGTTACTTTCAACATAAAAGCATAAAAGCAACACAAACAATAATACAAAATACACATATGATTTCTTAATTATAATTAAGAAATGTACACAGATATATAAGCCCTGCATCAGATTAGCATCACTGCATCAGTCCAGAGTGTATCCCGCCTCTTGCACTAAGAGGATAAGCCCTATCCCCAGCATCCTCCTCTGTCACACCAACCCTCTGCATATCCTCCTTCACTGCATCCATGAACCTTCTCTGAGGTTTTCTTCTTGTCCTCCTTCCTGACAGCTCCAACTTCAACATCCCTTGTCCACCCTTGTCTCTCTAACTTTGCCACTTAAACTGCTCAACCTAAGTTGTCACCATGCTTGATATCTGTGTGCTAGGCCACTATTTGGAGTCACTAAACTGGGTCTCTGTGTCATGTTTGTGCTGTTGGCGCACAAACATGGGTGTAACGCGTCTTTGATTTCAGCAGCGTTCAACAGGGTCTTTTATTTTGAAAGGTGTCTCAGGAAGCTGGCGGGATATCCATGCTCACTTGTCACAGCGGTGTCAGCTCATAACGAACCCCAGTGGCTGTAAAAGGCAAACGGAGTGTGGAAGCGCAGCGGTGCAGAGTTGTATCAGACACATGATGCTCTATGAGGACATCTTTGACTCGCTTCACTGAGATAAGATAACAGCGGCTACTCGAGAATTTCGGACGTTTTCATTCACCTGTTCTCACATTTCGACTTTTTTCGTTTGTTTTTTTTTTAAAGTTGATTATTCATTTCTAATGTTTCACGTGTGATGGCTAACGCATCATCATCGCTTGATGTGGGAGTTTTGTTTCTAATCGTGGTGACAGCATCTTTGACCAACGGTGAGTAGTGCTCGGTCCTTGTTGTGTTTGTGTTTTAATGAAGTAATGGTCACACAGACCAGCTGCTGTGCGTTATTGTGCAGCAGTGACAGACAGGTCACAACAGATAGATCAAAACATGCAATTAGACTGAAATCATCGGTATAAGATTATATCGATTATTATTATAACATTGCAATTGACGTCATGATATCTATACAGTTTTAACCCTTTTAAAACAAACAAAAAAATCCCACTGAAAGTGAGCACATGTTATTTCTTAAATCTTTTGAAAACTCATCGGTGTTTTGTGACTCCAACGCGTTCAGTATTTTTATTGTTTTGAATCACTAAAACAAGAAATTCACTATTTAAAGTTCCATCAAAACTGGGATTTTAAATATATATACATATATTTTCTCTCTGAGACAAACTCTACTCTCAACAGAATTGACCAATTACTGTTATGAAACTAAAATCTGTAACTATTTATGCTTGATATTTTGTTTTAACTGCTAAACACTCTAGAATCTGGATCTTTTGTAACCTTTTCAGACAGAAATGTAATATACATGCATCTATAAAGAGCTTTTTCATGCTTTACCAAACGCTGTTTCAGGTTAAGACTACGATTGAAAGCTCTCATATGCTGTAATCTTGCAGGTTCTTCATTTAAGAAAGATGTGAGCCAGAGGAAGGAGGTGACAGCATTCGAGCAGAGCGCACGTCTGCCTGGCGGGGTGGAGGATCTCACCACTGTTGCTTCCCACGTTGAGCCGTGTTCTGACTGCGAGCCACCATTAGCCAGGAGGCGATCCAAGAGGTGCACATGTTACACTTACAAAGACAAGGAGTGTGTGTATTACTGCCACTTGGATATCATCTGGATCAACACACCGGAGTAAGTGTCCTTCTCCAGGCATTCTCAGTTTGCACCAGTTTTTAAGCAAGGGATGTGTGTAGCTAATGTCTTATTAGGTTACTATAGGTTACTAATGCGTTGGGCATCATGTTTCTTAGTGTGCACTGTACACAAATAACACAGAGACAACAAATCAGATGCTGAAATGTAGAAATTAGATTTCTTTGATCATTTGATCTGCATCACTTCTTACTTTAGCTACATTTTCAAAGTCTTTGTGATCTGGGGAGGCCGGGTGCTGTAGTTTTAAGTCAAACGTTTCTTCTTGATATAGGGTTTCAGCTCAACAGTTCAAGGCCTCCTTTGTCTCGTGTTTTGCTTCTTAATTGGCTGAATGTTTTCGCAGGCCAGGTTAGCTGGCCTTATTTTTTTTTCACATTAGCAATGCTGTTGGAAAACTTACAGAGGGTTTAGTGCAAAGGTGTAACATGTGGTGAGATAGCCGGGCCCAGAAGGTAGCAGGCACCCCGTGGAAATGTCTTTCAAAGAGGGCCCCTCCCCGTCTACATTATACTGGATGCTTCACAAAATTTGGACACATAAGATTTTATCTTGTGAACCAAAGCCAAACATTGCTTGAATACATTTTCCTTATGAATTAAATTTCAACTGCAAATATTTACTCAGCCATTTTACATTTTACTGATTAAATTAAGCACATTTTCTGAAAAACTTTGCAGGCAGAGAGGCATGCTGGGAAATGCTTGTACTTCATAACCTTCCTCCCTGTAATTTGTGCAAAATCCCCACAAACCTGTTGATGTCAACTACGCAGGAATTAGTTTTTTGGAAAGTATCTTATAGAACAGTTTTAAATTGTGTTTATCAAGCAAAGTAAAAAAGTGGAAGGAAGAGAGCAGGATGAAGATAGTGTAAATACTTTGGATCTGAGCAGCATTGGCAATGACTTTAGTGAATGCAAGGAAGGTCCAATAGATAAGTTCTGCTGGGTGAATAGTTTGTGTATTTGTGAAAAACTGACACATTGTTGCCAATTGGGGTCATGTGACTGTTCGTTTTCTCTCCATATGCGTTATTGTAGGGACTAGCTAACAATATAAAGTGCCTTGATGCAACTGTTGTTGTGATTTGGCGTATCATGGATGCTGGCGAAGAAATGTGCACTTCTAACAAGATTGATGGTTCTTCTCCTCTTTCGATTTGATGAAATTGAAAATTTTGATTGGTCAGCTGCCAGCCAAAGTTTGCACTTCACCGCAGTGAATTTAAAAGAGCTTAATACCAGAGACAACAGCATTGTCCTCAGATCTTGGTTACAGTATATTTTTTCTTTGGATGGAAGAGTTTTAACTTCCATTTGTATAACTCTGACAATTCACTGACCAATCAGACTGGCTGGTTGCTGTCTCATTCCCATTAACTTTTCCATTTTGCTCTTTGTAAACATTTTTCTTGAGTAGCCATAGATCGTGAAATTCCTAAATTATGTTTAGAACAGACTTTAACAGTACAATGGACCCCTCCCCATATTTTTTTAGAAAACAAAGAATCTCTCTGGGATTTTATTAGGCCTCTGCTTTATGAGATGTTCTATAGAGTACTTTCCCCCCCAATGGTGACAGTTTTTTCAGTAATTTATTGCCCCACCTATTTCGAAACATGTTGCTAGCATAAAATTCAAAATGACCATATATTTCTTTATGATTACGGCAGTAATCATAAAGTCATGATCATGACTCATCATGATTACTACGGCGGCACGGTGGTTAGCACTGTTGCTGCACAGCAAGAAGGTCCTGAGTTCAATTCCAACATCAGGCCGGGGTCTTTCTGTGTGGAGTTTGCATGTTCTCCCCGTGTTTGTGTGGGT